AGAGAGAACAGGAAGGCAGAGAGAGTCACTGCCAGCCTCCGCCAGGACAAGCAGCATGTGAAAATGCCAGTAAGCAATGAGCCACGTGGCAAGGTATAGATTTATAGAAATGGATTAATTTAAGATATAAGAACAGTTAGCAAGAAGCCTGCCACGGCCATACAGTTTGTAAGCAATATAAGTCTCTGTGTTTACTTGGTTGGGTCTGAGCGGCTGTGGGACTGGCGGGTGAGAGAGATTTGTCCTGACTGTGGGCCAGGCAGGAAAACTCTAGCTACAACAAAGTTTGTTTTTTAGCATATTTGATTCATAGTTATATTTTACTGCACCAAGCATCTGAAAAATTCAGGCAAAAGCTAGGTAACTCCTATTTGGTCTAACAAAATCTTGTCACGAAAAACAAGATGCTTCTAGAACTGGCTTGAACTTTTTAAAGTCAGAAGGAAGCTACTTTATCTCCCATGTTGTGTGCTTTGAGCTAACCCATTCTACAATACCTGACTGTGCAGTTTGGATGCACACTCCACTCTGTGCTGCCACATGCTACTCACTCCATGCTGAACATCAGGGAGGAACCAGGAATGGCAGGAGTCTCAGGCACACCACAGAGTATACGGAGTGGCTACTGCATCATCAGGGAGGAGCCAGGAATGGCAGGAGTCTCAGGCACACCATAGAGTACGTGGAGTAACTACTGCATACACTCCAGCGTGCCTGTTGACTGCATGTGATTGGTGTGGTGGCTTCATGTGCTTCCTAGACCCAGTGTTGCTGGAAGCTTTTTACTGGCCCAGCCCAGTACAACAACGACCTTCACTGAGATGCCCATTCAACCGTCTGCACCATCCTAGTCTCATCATCACTGGCATTAGACTCTTCAGTATCCTTTTGTCTCTCTCAACTTACCTCTCTTCCTACAAAGTAGAAAGGACAGAAAATGATTTGTTAAAAGACTCAAGGTTTATATAACTAACCACTACTAGATGTGTGTCTTTAAGCAAGTGACTTAGCATCTGTTAAATCTGGTTATTATAAGTTACACTATGGGCAAACATTTTTCATTGGAGAGAAATTACATCTTTCATTCAGTTCAATATCCTTGAATATTAAAAAATTATTTACTAATTTATTAACTATTAAACAATGGAATGATTGTTATTATAAAATAAATGCCCTATATCGTATGGCTATATTTGGTGAATTATTAAAGAGGTAGCAAATATTTTCCCATCAAAAAATAATAGAACAAAATTTCTAACCTCAAAAAAAAATAATCACACATGAGGCAGAGTCAGGCAGATCTCTGAACTGGAGGCCAACCAATGCTATTCAGTGAGACTTTGTCTCAAAAAAAAAAAAGCCAAAAAAAAAAAAAAACCCAACCCAACCACTGTGCAATACATTTTCCAGCATTAGCTAGGTTATATTCTGAGGAACATCTGATGTGTGAAGTGCTTGTTGTATTGTTAGGCACAGCATTGTCACTCCATCATAAGTAACACTATCTGCACTGTGGCTACACAAGGTTGTTTAGGACGCAGAATAGTTTCATCCTGATAGTTTCAACCCAGCTACTTTTCATGTCTTGGTTTCGGCATTATCATCAGCCACCAGTGCATCTATTCACTGTAGGAAAGGGGCCACTTCCCGAATACAAAGGGTAGCTGTGGCTTCACACTGAGCATGGATTTTCATGTGAACTCTGTGTGTCCCCAGAAGTTGAATTGTTAAGGAAGTAGACTACAGAGCATTTGGTTTTGGGAAGGACACTTTCATGCTCTGCTCTGAAGATGGATGTCTGCAGTGTCTTCCTGATGTGTATGGCATGTACTATCTGTGACCCAGCATGTCACATGAGCCATGTTATTAGAACCTCTCAATCTTACACTTCAAAGAACACATTACAAGACCCTGGGGTAATGATCCCCACAGTAGGACGAACCTCCCTGAAACTTGAGACAGACATTCCCCAATGCTTCAGCCTGGGGCTGTTGCTAGGCAACAGAGCTGCTTCTCAGCTGCTGAGAGAACTCCCCAACTGTCCCTGACTATAGCTTTTCTCTTGTTGAGAAAGCTTTCCAGTCACAATTCCTGTCATTTTTTTCACTGTCCAATGTTGTTACTTTGAACCCCTTAAGTCATGTGACTCTCTCAAATTAGAGGATCTACATTTCTCTGTGGCCTGTGGAAGAGTGCATCAGAGTGAAGGGTAGAGAAGTCTTTCCATCCAGCCTTGAAGGGTTCTGAGACTACATCAAGTGACTAACAGAATAAAGACAGATTAACAGGAGAAAGGTGTGTATGTTTTATTTGTATTGATATTTTATGTGGTGAAGACAGCTACCCAAAAAGACAAGAATGCCCCCAAAGAAGTAGGGCATATATATTACTTGAACAACAACAAAAACCCAAAACAATGAATTGTGGAGCTGTGACAAGAGGAAGGAAAAATGGCTCAGAGATAGTAAATCATGAGGACTTATTAGGAAATATCAAAAGGAAACTAAATGATAGTAGGGGGGATTTGGGAAGTCTATACAGATCAATAGGATTATATCAGTTCCCTGGGATAAGAATGTCCTGTTCTTTAGCCTGGTCATGAGTGGGAACAATGAAGGGCGACAGTCGAGGGAAAGAGTGGGAGATCCTAGCTGGATCAAGAAAAGAGAGGGAGAACAAGGAATAGGAGACCATGGTAAATGAAGACCACATGAGAAGGTGAGAAGGGGAGGAAGCAGAGAGCTAGGGAGGCCCACGGAGATTCACAAAGATACCCCCTCAAAAGACTGCTGGCAATGGTCGCGAGACGGCAGGAACTGACCTACTCTGGTGATGGGATGGCCAGACACCCAAATAGTGGTGCCATAAACCCCATCCAAGGACTGAGGAATCTGAAGGCAGACATCCACGGCTGGGCCCCTGGTGGAGCACTGGGAGTCTAATTAGTGAGTAAGAAGAGGATTTATATGAGCGAGAATTGTTGAAGCCAAGGTTGGATAAAGCACCGGGACAAATAACCAAATGAATGGAAGCACAGGATCTATGAACCAAAGGCTGAGGGGCCCCCAACTGGATCAGGCCACCTGAACGGGTGAGACAGTCATTTGGCTTGATCTGTTTGGGAGGCAGCTGTGCATTGGTGCCAGGTCCTGGGCGCGTTGCATGAGTTGGCTGTTTGAATCCTGGGACTTATGCAGGGACACTTGGCTCGGTCTGGGAGGGGGGAATGGACCTGCCTGGACTGAGTCTACCAGGTCAACCCCGGTCCTCGGGGGAGACCTTGATCTGGAGGAGGTGGGAATGGGGGGTGGGCTGGGGGGAGGGGTGGGCGAGAGGGGGAGAACAGGGGATTCTGTGGCTATTATGTTGAACTGAATGGTGTTATAAAATAATAATAATAATAATAATAATAATAATAATAATAATAATAAAAGAATGTCCTGTTCTTGGTACATAAGGACACCCTTCTCAATGGAAATTTAGCCCTCACTTTTCAGATGGAAGGGAGAGGGCAGAGAGCACTTCCATATCCCAGGTGCCTTTGCTTCAAAATTGTCAATACGCCCAAGTGATGTATTTGAGGGACAATATGTTCTGATCCCCTTCAATGGAAATATGTTTGGCAATTCTCTTAGATAAGAATAGAAGAGGGCCAGTGGATCACTGCACTTTTAATACCTCCTAAGTACCAGGTTTTGTGCCATGTGCTGAAAAAATACCTGGAAACCTGACCAAATAAACACTTGTCCTTGTTGGAGAGAGACCAAATACACAAGTTAACAAAAGAGTTTTATAATATAGCACTATGAAGAAAATGAGATTATAGAAATGTGCTGCCCAACACAGTAGATATAGCTACACATAACTATTGAATACTTGAATATGACTTGTATGAGGTCAGATGTGCTGGTAAATGTACACTAGATCTCAAAAACTTGGACCTACAAGGAAAACCATATATCATCTCATTAGCCATTTTCAACTTTTTGATTAAATGATTAAAAAATTGTATCTGAAATATGTAAATTTTGAAAATCACTGAAATGAGTCTCATGTGTTTATTTTCACTATTAAAAATGTGGCCATCTAGAAAATTTCAAAGACATATGTGTCTTGCATACTGTTTCTATAGAACAACATTGTGAGGGACAAAGCAGATTGAGAGCTTTGTGGAAGGCCTCAGAAAGAGTGACATTTTTGTTTGTATGTTTGTTTGTTTTGGTTTTTGGTTTTTCAAGACAGGGTTTCTCTGTGTGGTAGCACCAGCTGTCCTGGAACTCACTTTTTGAACCAGGCTGGCCTTGAACTCACAGAGTACCTATCTCTGCCTTTGAGTGCTGGGATTAAAGGCATGTGCCACCACACTTGGCTAAGAGCAACATTTTAAGACCTAAAAAATGAGGGCAACAAGAAGACCTCTAAGACAGTGCAAGGAGCTTGATGTAACTTCACAGACATGGAATCACAAGAGCAGAAGTTTAGAGAGATGGCAGAGAAAAAAGAAAACAAGGCAGAAGGGACAGTATCGACGAGAGTCGGGCCAAGGAGAGAGTTGGAGAGATTGGATTGGATGCTATGTGGAACAGGGCAGCTTTTTCCCCCCAGTGTTTGAGACAGTGTTCCTCTGTGTAGCCCTGATTATCCTGTAACTCAATTTGTAGACCAGGCTGGCATCGAACTCAGAGGTCCACCTGACTCTACCTCCCAAGTGCTGGGTTTAAAGGTGTTCACCACCATGTTGGGCCAAGAAGTTGGTTGGTTTTATGCAAAAGAGCAAATCAACATCTTGAGGACAGAGAACCCACTTTTACAAAAAGGGGTCCCCAGGAGGAGATGATGGTCAAATAAAAGTCTCACCATGACTCAGTCTTTGGATGTAGTTGCTAGGACTGACTGCCTTGCCCTCTATTCACAAGGCACAAGCACTCGAGAACTTGTGTGGATCATACTCTGGAGCTGTGTGCAAAACTTGGCTTTGTCTCCCTTACCTTCCCCCACAGTGTTTGGAACCAGATGTGCTGTTACTCACAGCTGGTGGAGGTTTCGAGGATGAACTTAGAGAGGAGGTGGTCCAGAGAGTTTCTCTCCTCCTCCTCTATTACATCATTCACCAGGAAGAGATCTGTTCTTCAAAGCTCAACATGAGCAACAAAGAGTATGAATTTTACCTGCATAGCCTGCTGGGCCTCAGGCAGGATGAAGACTCCTATTTCCTTTCACAGAAGGAGACTGATGACATCTTGGCTCTTACCAGGATGTACTTTGGCACGTCTGGTAGCCAGGTAAGAAGTGAGGAACTGCTGTCTGTATCCTGTTGAAGTGTAGGCTGGGACTTATTTATGTCCCTTATTCTTAGGAAATGGGTGGACTTCTAAGAGAGGAAGGTATTTCGAGTTTTAACTACAGGATAGTAAGTGACATAATTTAAAATTTGAAGTGGAAATGGAATGACTAAGTGGACGATGACTTTTAGCCAGAAGCTAGGTGGGTGGGTGGGTAGGCAGGCCAGGTGACAGGGCAGTTCTCATCTCCTGAATAACTATGACTCAAAGATTTTGATCAACGTCCAAGAGATGAAAGATCATGGTGGAAAGCCATATGTCTGTTTGTCTTGGCTTCTGGCCAGGGATGAAGGCAGGAACAACTTAAGAGATGTATTTATCATCAGTGATTTCATTGATGAAATAGCTTGCAGAAGCATTACTTGCAACAGTCAACCCTAAACAACACCCCTCTGCCACATAGCATGTTGTAGCCATGCACATGCTTGTCATGTCCCGTGTGCCCCCGCCCAGCCCTCACTCTTGGGAAATGGGCACCTGTTCTTCTGTTGCCTTCATCACGGTTCTAGGAAGGCTGGCTTCTCAAGCACGCTGTAAGATTCGGCACACAAAGGTATCCGAACATAAAGTTTATTATTATTATTATTCTCATCTTATGCAGCTGGGGGGGGCACTCATGGGTGAAGTGCTTGAGGCACGAACATGAACACCTGAGTTTGGATCTCCAGTGCCTCTGTAAAACCAAGTGTTTCAATTAATCCTGGAATCTTTGGGGTTGGAGGGATACAGGCAGATACTTGAGACTTGAGGTCAGCTTGTCTAGCCAAAATGACAAGCTGCAGGGTTCACTGACAGACGCTGTCTCAAAAATGAAGGTAGAGGGCAATAGAGGATGATAACTGATATTGACCTCTGGCCTCCACGTGAGTACACACAGGCCACATAGATATTTACACACATATACATACACCACACACACCCATCACCACCATCAACATCCTTACCATTATCACCATCATCACCACTATCATCATTATATTGGGGATCGAACCTAGGCCTTTGTGCATGCTAGGCAAGCACTACTCTACCACCGAGCAATACCCTCCACCCTATAAATCTTGAGTCATATTTCCAGAAGGGTTTATTGAGGATCCATACCACACTTTGAAGAGTATAAACATTAGTTATGAAATAGTGGCCATGGCTTTTCTCTCTTTTGAATTATTCATTGATTTATAAAAACAAGCTTAATTCTTAGTCTCCATTCTGTTGTTGAAAAGCCAAAGGTCTCTAACTGTCCTATTTCAGAAAGCACCCCTCCAACAGGCTGCAGATGGGCTGACTATCTCTTCTTATTGGTATGCAATTGGTATGAAGAGCATATTTACTAAGCACCTTGCAAAGGTCTTTATGGCACCCCTAATCCTGTGACTGTCAATCTTCAGCCCATTGTTCCTGTTTCCATAAAGGTTCTTTGATGGAATTCAGTTTTTAGCCTGAATGAAGAGATGTCCCTATATGTAAGATTTTTCATTGTAATTTCTCTATGATATAATATTGGCTTGAATCACCCACTAGGATTTTAGGCAATCTTGCACATTTACTGTCTTTTGAGACAGATTAAACAGAAATGGAAATCTAGTACTTAAAGGCAGATGGTGAGTAGCAGTAGGTTTCTGGTTATGCTGCATATACAGTCAATGTCCAGACTTTCAGTGTTTGTAAGATCAAACATTTTTAGAGAATAAGATCACAGTACATAGAAAACTACTTTTTCCATGTGGTTAACAAGAACTAAATTACTATCATGAACCTTTCCTAGGTTTTAGGGCAGAGATCCTCCAGACATATCAATGTCTGTGTCTCCTAGAAGGGTCCTGGAACCTATTTACCCACAATTACCTAGGTAGTTAGTCAGTCCAGACTTGGCAGAAGGCTGTTGACATCTCTTTACAGGCTGCTGATTTGTCCTAGACAGCACCGCACACCAGCCCACTGCTCACATTCCCAACTTTTCATCTGCACAGGACGCAGCTTCCACAGTCAGCCCCATGGTAGCCATCCCAGCGGTCCTCAGCAGACTTCCAGGGGAAGTATCTTTACATCTCAGAGTCCTCATCCAGTCACACTCTAAGACCAGATTATAAACATCACCCTGTTCCTTCACTCTCATGTGCACAAGGAACTATGTTTTACTGTCTTTGATCAATTCCCAGTGCTCAGGAGTTCTCTCTGCTGTTTTCTGGGTCTATGGTAAACATACATGGATCTGTTCATAGCTCATCCTAGCACCATCTCTTCATGGAAGATAGGTATTCACTACATTCTAAGGACTTTTTGTGTCAAAACAGTGGCTGGAATTCTCCTCTATTCTCAATAGAACCTTATGACTATAATGCTTTCTTTTTCTTTTTTTCCAATCTCTACAAAAAAATTCACTGTGAGGGTCATACTGTTATATCTCAACTTGTTCCTTTCACTCATACTACTTTCCCAAAATTTGTCAAAAATGTGATAGCACTGCTGGGGATGTAGCCCAGAGAAGAGCACTTGCTTAGTCTATGTGAGATCCTAATTTCCATCCCATGTTTCATTACTGCTGTAAATAGACATCTGCCTAGAGGGTACCACCAGACCTCAGAGAGAATAACTCCAATAGACTGTTCTATTCCTTCTCCAACATCACAAGAATTGAAGGTTGATGCGATAATTTATGCTTACATCCTCTTTGGATGAACCAGATCACCCCAGTTCATTGATAGTGGGCTTATCATAGTACAAGGCACACAGATATTTTAATAAATGAGAGAGGTTAATAATAGGATTTAAAGCAAAATTCTACCTTGTCAGATGGGCATAATTTAATCAGGAAAAACTAACACACACACACACACACACACACACACACACACACACACACAATCTACATGTCCTGTGTTCTGTAGGAATTCATGATTCTAGAGTGTACCATATACTCAGTGTAGTGAATACACACTAAGCTTGGGACTCAAGGCTGATGTAGAAGTAAAGGTGGGATCTTAGTTACTTCTCTGTTGATGTGATAAAATACCTTGACAAAATCAGCTTAAGGAAGTATGAGTTTATTTTGGCTCATAGTTCAAAGTACAGCCCATCATGGCAAGGAAGTCAGGGCAGCAGGGACTTGACTCAGCTGGTTACACTGAGCCCCACAGTCAGTCAGAAGACAGCAACAAATACATGTAACCAGCTTTTCTCCTTTTTATACAGTGTGGAATCCCAGCCTAGGGAGGGATGCTCTAGTGGATGGGTCTTTCTACCACAGTTAACCTAACCACGAAAATCTCCCAAAGGCACACTTAGAAACCCTTCCCACAGGTGGTGATAAATCTTTTCAAGTTGGCAATTAAAATTAATCATTGCAGGTTTCAGTGTGCCATCAAAGCTGGGATGCAGAGTTAAAAATTATTTAGTTTACAAGAGTCCTTGAATTTGGGAGAAAATTCACCAAAGGAAAGGATGCAAGCTGTAAGAGCAGGGGATCCCCTTGAAAACAGTGCATCTTTAAGAGAGGAAATGTAAAGAGTCAGGAGGATGGGATTAGATTTGAAAAGGTCAAATGTTCCCTAAATCAAGTTCTTTCTGGGATAGCAGAGTGACGACTGTCATTTCTACAAACCAATTTTCTTTTAGATGAACAATTCCTCATGCATTGGGGGAAATTTTAGAGGAGACTTATTGAGTGTGACTCCAGAAGCTAACGTTTTCTCTTTGTTTTTGGCGCTAGTGTGTGGAAACTAAGACCCTACAGAGGACATCTGGCATTCAGGACAGCAACGGTGCTGATGAAAAGACGCTTCCTCAGCTGGCCGCAACCATCCTTGCCCTGTCGCTCCAAGGTGTTTGCCTGGGGAGAGGAGACCTGCCTTCCCCAGATGACTTCACAGACTATATTTTCAGTTTTTTGAATAGTTCCAATTCCCTCCCCCTCTCTGGTAAGGTTGTTTTTCATGAATTTCATTTGCAAGTCATATCTGTCTAATTAGTTGTGCAAAAAAAAAAAAAAAACAACCAAACAAACCAAACCCCCCAAAAACCAAAACCAAACAAACAAAAAACCAAAGGCTAGAGCATTTCTTTGACTGAGTTTGTTCAGGTCTGTTTTAAACACTGTTTTATCTTGGCATGTGATAAGAGAGCACAGATGGCCTCTCAGGACAGAAGTATATTGGTTGATGAAGCATAAACGTGAACGTGGCCCATTTGTGTGGGGATGGAAACTGTGGCTATAGAGTCAAATGGACAGATTTTAAAACCCGTCTTGAGAACTAACTAAACACTTTCCTATTTCCCCCCTAACATTGGGCCTGCGATGGCAGAGCAGTGTAGGATGACGGAATAGTATGAAATGGTTCAAGAACAGTGTAGCAGCTTGCATGTAATCATGAAAGTAAGCCATTTGTGTTTACACAGAAGTAGCTTGTATGTTATTCATCTACTTCTGATAACCAGCATTTGGAGGCTCTGAGATGAAATGCGATGCCAGGAAGGAACTCTGAATGTTCATTTTGTATGTTTCTTTGCATTTAGTAAGGAACATGGCTTGAAAGTTAAGTATCTGAAATGGTTTGACAGTTCCAGTATCTGAATCCAAGTGTCTGTAGGTAGATTTTCTTTCTCATCTCATTACACAACATCAGCCATCACTTCTCAGTATTAGAGAATGTTGAATCACATTTTCCTGAGTTTTAAAACTATTCTTATTTTTTTTATTGTATCGGGGTCCAGATAAGACCCACAAAATGAGCTAGGAAGTTGGATCAGGGGGTGATGTGCTTTCTGTGAAAACGTGAGAAGCCGAGTTGAGGTCCTAGTATCCAAATAAAGCCAGGAACAGTAGTGATCTGTGAGCCCAATGTTCCTATGGCAAGATAGTCAGATAGAAGAATCCCCCAGAAGCTCATGGGCCAGCTAGCCTGGCATGCACACTGGGAACAAGAGACCTGTCTCTACCATGGTGGACTGGCACCTTAGACTTCCACATGTGTGACATGCACATATGTGCCTATACTCAAACAGATAAGCGCGCACACACACACACACACACACACACACACACAAACTAAAATCGATACAATATAAAATGTTGGTATATTTCTCATTTCCTTTACAAGTGACATTTATCTCCACCCTCATTCTGTCTACTTTATCACAAATTATTTTGTTGGGGGAGTAAAGGGGTTTTGTCCTGTGGATCACTGATTGCATTCAGAGTTAACCTGAACTTTCATGCCTATCCTGTATGCTGGTGGTTGTATGTAGAGATTGGATTCGTTTTCAGGTATTTAGTGAAGAACATCATTTTATGGTTGGTGACTTCCACCAGAAGACTTAGAATATTTGCTTCTCTTCTGAATGAGGGTTGTAACCTTCAAATGACTGTCTAAATTGGCTATTTGAAGCTTATAAAATGATGTCCTGATGCTCTCATTATGGTTTCCTCTCTGCTCTCTGGTTCTTTTGATGCCCATTGGAAGAATTTGGAGGAGAAACACAGTTTAAAAGATAATCAGAGTTTATTTTATAGTAGAGGAAGGTACACCCTGAAGTGATGACCATAGTCAGTAGACAAGGGGCCTTTGTGAGCAGAACACCCAATAGGGTGAGAGTAGATGATGGCCAGAGACAGTTGTGTCAACCTACATTGTAGGTAGTTTTTGTATTAGTTTTAAGACTGGAATAGAAACCTTCCCATGGGGTATTTTTTTTTTTACCTGTCTAAGTGATTGAAAATCCCATTTGGATTGACTCTGACGGGAGAGGGCTGTGGTCCACCCTTGTTCTTTATCAGAATGCTTCCTGCCAGATGGTAAAGTTAGGTTTGGAGTCATAGAACCAGGTTTAGATAGTTATCAATTCATGACTTTTTGGGAAGTTTGGAATGTTACACTCTTCTCCCAATTATTACTCAGATCCATTCTTCTGGCCATGAATGAGAATTTGTAGTTTCAGACCTTGCTATTGTAAGCTGTTGGTTATGAGTGAGGGGTACACCTCTGGTATCCTTCAAGTTTGATAATATCTAGCTACCTATTTCTTGATATTATAATTCTATAAAGGAAAAAATTTCCTCCCACACCAATTTCATTTTACTTGGGTTCCTTTTATTGCATATGTATCTGTGTGTGAGATGTATGTGCATGCATAGTTGTATGTGTATATACACATGTGTAGTATATATATATATATATGTGCATATGGAGGTCAGAGGTTGGTGTTGGGTACCTTCCTTGATGGCTCTCCACCTTAAATGTTGAGGCATGGTCTCTCACTTAAACCTAATATACACTGATTCAGCTAGTCTACCTAGCTAACTTGCCTTGGGAATTCTCTGTCTCTGCCTTCTGAGTGAGCTACTCTACCTGACTTGCATTTTCTTGGGTGCTGGGGATCTGAACTCCAGTCCTCTTGCTTGTATGCACTGCACCATCTCACCCACTCTTGGCTCATGTTCTTAAAGAATAAACTATTTCCAAGATTTTCCTGGCTTGTTTGTAGATTATAATTAACATTACTAAGTTGTTGAGCCTGAAAAACACTGCATGCAGGCACACTTATATACGTGTGTGTGTGTGTGTGCACATACTTGGAGAAAAATGACAACTATAACATGTTACATATTATACCCAGTAATAATATATCTTTCAACGTTGTCATGCCCACATGGGTGTTTTATTATTTGCAAGGCATGGGTCTTCAGATATGTCTTTTTGTACTTATATTTAGGCAGCCCACTTTCTTCCTGGTCATCTTAAATGAGATTTTCTTTCATCGTGTCTTCTGATTGATGCTTATATAAGTGAGAGCTACTGACTTTTTTTGATTAACTTTGTAATCTGCTCCACTAAAACCATTGCTTTCACAATGCTTTTCTGGGGAGTTTCAGATATATATTTGTATCATTGCCAAACATTTATAGCTTTGTCTGCTTCCAGTTCCTGTAATTTTGTTTGCTCTCTCATCTACCTGCTTTAGTTAATGATTGAAATACAGTGTTAAATAGTATTGTGTGTGACCTGTGTTCCTACAGTTCTGAGTTTGAAAGAAAAGACTGTATTACTTTTTTCATTAAATTAATATTTATAAATATATCTATAGAATCTCTTATATTAACCTACAATTTCACATTTCCAAAACTCTTCATTTCTTATAATAAACTTGAATAAACTGGAAATTTTACCCAAAGGAAGGTGTGAGTCATTTCTTTTCAACCTGATGAATTTCATTCTGGGGTTGTCACGATGGCTCAGTGGTAAATAGGTCTCACTGCTCTTTCAGAAGACTGGAATTGTGTTCCCAACATCCATATCAGGAGGCTTGCAGCTTGCTTGAAAATCCAGCTCCAGGGAACCCAATGCCCTCTTCTGGCCTCTGTAGGCAACTGTATACACATATACATACTTAGCCACACATATACATATATGACATATATACATATAAATATAAATAAAACACATCTTTTATAAAAATAATGTAATATATTTCTTGTCATATATGTGCACCAATAAAGAATTCTCTCATTTACTGTTTAGCAGGATTTTGTTTCTTTCTAATTCATTTTGAGGGGTTGTTTTGCTGGGTATAAAACCATTGATTGACAACTGTTTCTTTCAGTTCTTTGAATATGTCATCCTACAATTTTTTGGGGGGTGGAGCCTTCATTGTTCAGATGGGAAGTCAACCATCTGCTGCCCCACATATATAAATCACTTTAGCATGTGGTCTTGCAAGATTTTATCTTAGATTTTCATCAGTTTGACTATAATGTATCTGAACATGGATGTTAGCGTATTTAAGTTGCTTTGTGTTTAATAAGCTTCCTGAAAATGTGAATGAAGATTTTTATAACACACTTGGGAAGTTCTTGGCCATTCTCTTCATCATTTTTATTCCTGTTATTCTTTGTCCTCTCTTTCTGTGGCTGCCAATCCATGTCTGTTGATAATAAGTGTTGTTTTCTAGGTCTCTGAAACTTATTTCAGTTCCTTCTTTCTCTATTCTTCAGGAAGAATTACTTCTGTTACCCACTCTAAATGATCAATGATTTTTACCTTCTGCTTTCTCACATATATTGTTGAGTGCTTTTTGTGATTATATTTCGATTTTATCTCAAAACTACACAACATCTATTTGGAACTTTATGTAATTTTTTTCCTTCTTATTGAAAATTTCTTTTATCTAGTTTATTGCCATGCTTCACTTTAATTATTTAAATATGATTTTCTTTAGTTCCTTAAACATACTTTTGCTAACTGCCTGAGGACTTTGGGACTAAATCCAACATCCAGGTATATCTAGAGTTGCATTCATTGTTTGCTATTTTTCTTCAACATGGGTCACACTTTATCAGTTATCTGGAAAGCTCATAATACCTTTTTTTGTTGTTGAAAATTGGTCATTTGCAATAAAATTACTTGGTAAATTTTATATAACTGATTATACTGTTTAGGAAAATTTCAAAGACATTTTATTCACAGGTAAGAAGAAGAGTGATGCCATATAAACTGGCTATTTTATTTAATCATTTTCTGTATAATAATTTTAAAATCATAGAAATGAATTGAGGAAACTGAACTGTAATATATGTGTGCCATTAAGAACAGATTTAAAATAATAAAATCTAGTGAACCTCTCTGTCCTTATCTTAATTTCATTTATTTTCTTTGTTCTGCATATACATCTAAAAGGAAAGCATTTTGATTGACTTATATACATTAAAGAAATACACAATTTGCTGAAGATGTAGAGTACCTTCAGGGAGTAAATTTCCCAAAGATCAGGCCACTTTAAATTTTTAATTTGAATTTTTATTACATTGTAGTTATTTTATGTATATATATGTGTGTGTGAGTGCATGAATATGTTTATGTGTATATGTGTGTGCACATGCGTGTGCCACAGTTCATAAATGAAGGTCAGAGCAAATCTTCCTGTAGTTGGTTCTCTCCTTCTACCACTCAGGACTCAGGCATCAAACTAATTCATCAGGCTTGGCAGCAAATGCCTTTACCCTGAGCCATTTCTTTCTCCCCTTCATTATAATTTTTTATAGCAAATAAAACACATGTCTCAATGAAACATATGTCCACTAGCTACTCACTTTTATTATTTCCAGGATGCAAAAATGTAGGGTTATTCTGGGAAGACTTGTTCATCATCCAAGTTTAACCAAGGTCTTTTAAGGGCATCAGCACCCACACAAAGTACGAATACTCTTTAGCTTTGTTCCAATATAACCATTTTCAGTAGAACCAAGTTTATCTTGTAAAACATCCGAGCTGTAGCCATGGAAATTGTGACTGTTCTAAATGTGACCTGTCTATTCCATGTGACACCAGATTTTATATGAAATTTCTAGGACTAGATCAACTCCTCAACATACTCTTTACCAGAGGGGCCTGTGCCAAAAAGGATTCACCCCATCAACACCAAAGGAAACAAAACATGACAATATATAGTTGGGGAGACCCTAAGACACCTACAGCGACGGAGAAAGATTCCGATGATCCTTCTGTTTCCTGGGATCAGGTATTTTTATTTTTTTATGTTATCATTCTCTATTGCTGAAGGAAGTTGATAGTTCTGTCAGAATTATTAAACTCTTATGAAGATACTATACATTTTTCTTTAAAGTAGTCTCTCTGTGTTTATGGTTTTCTTTTCCTTCTTCTTCTTCTTCTTCTTTTTTTTTTTTTTTTTGTAAGTGGATTTCTACAGACATAGAAATAGAGCCAAAATATTTAGCATTTCTCTCAGGTCCATATTAAACATATAAATAATTAATTTAGAAAAGATACACTAGCATTTAATATGAGCTGGTAGTACCTTGGCATGAAGAATGCCACACTGGGTTAAGATAGGCTTAGCCCTGAAGACTCATACCAATCAGTTTAGGATTTGAATATTACATAAGTCCCAATAATGATAAGCATACAGCCTAAATTTAAGATAGATTAGGAAGAGATTCCTTTGTGCTTTGACTTATGGAAGCATATTTGTATAATAGATTGGTCCTTTCAAGTGGTTCTGGTGTTTGAACCTGGGGCTAGGTAAATACACTTATCTTTGAACTACATCCTTAGCCCTTTTAAAAATTTTATTTCTTTCTCTTGACATGTATGTGCATGCATGTTTGTGCATACCCATGTGTTTAGAAGCCCAAGAGGGTAGTGGAGTCTTCCTGATTGATTGTCACCTTATATATTGAGGTAGGGTCTTTCACTTGAATCTAGAACTCACCAGTTCTGTTAGTGTAGCAACCTGGTTTGATCTGGGAATCCCATCTGTTCTTGCAGTACACTTGAAAGTACAGGTGGGTTGCCATGTATGTGCATGCATGTTTGTGCCACTGAGCTACTTGGCTGGCCCCATGACTTGTATTTTAAAGATAAAAAAGTATTTAGATGTTCCTAAAAATACTGGATGTTGTACCCACAGATTATGAATACATTGCTGTGGAATATCACATATTCTTGCTACCATGTCTTTGAAAAAGTCATTTTCTAGGCTGGAGATATCCCTCAGCAATAGATCACCTGCTTAATGTGAGGGAGGCCCTGGATTCAATAACCATCATCTCTTCTTGTTTTCTATCACCTTTGCTAGGCATAAAATGTGTCTATCAGACTTTACTTTTTCAAGCCATATCTATGGTATTTACCCAAAGCTGACAAGCATTTACCTCCAAGTTAATCTTTTCACATCCCCTTTGTGATAGTTTGAATGAAAATGACCTCTATAGGTTCATAGGGAGTGGCACTATTAGGAGTGTGGACTTGCTGGAGGAAGTGTGTCACAGGGTGTGAGCTTTGAGGTTTCAAATGCTCAAGCCAGGCCCAGTGTTATTCTCTCTTCCTACTGCCTTTGGATCTGGATGTAGAACTCTTAGCTACCTCTCTGGCACCATGTCTGCCTGTATGCTGCCATGCTTTCTGGCTCTGATGATAATGGACTAAACCTCTGAACCTGTAAGCCAGCCCCAACTAAATGTTTTCCTTTGTAAGAGTTGACATGATCAATGGTGTCTCTTCACAGCAATAGAAACCCCAACTGAGACACCCTTAAAAGCCAGTTCAGTGCAACACAGTGCTGTCCCCCACCAAAACAACTGCCATCTTCATAAGACCAGCTATATCTCCTTCAAAGCTATCAATCATTTCTGTTGACATTCTCACATAGAATGAGGGTTTGGAGGGTCCTTGGACCCTCACCTTTGTGTCTAGCCACTCTTCCCAGGCATTTGTATGCTATGTTGCCATAACCAGATGTGTTCTGTGATGTGGGGAAGGGGCTAGGAGCATACAGACTGTGGAGGACTAAGGGAAGGGGAAGGAGACTCCATCTACTTATCCATGGGACAGCCATCATCCAAGCTGGGTGATGTCATAGCCTTTTCTAAACCCTTTGGCTCATCACGATTTATTGTTTGCATTACAATGTATACCAATGCCCAAGTCACCCAGAATTGTACCAGAATACGTTCTCCTTGTCTATGGGCTTTCACTATATTTTCTTTAATTTGATATCATATTTTGGGATCTAGAGTGTGCTTTCCAGGAAACTAAGGATTAGATTCTGTTATTTAGTCCTAGCATTTTTGAGCTGGGCTTTAGACATTGCTACACCACTCTTTTTTAGGAAATGATGTATCAACTCACTATGTGCTGGTTTTCCTACTTTTAGCCACATATTAATCCCTGCTTACCTCCTTTTTCAGAGGTCCTTGCATCCTCTCTTAGCTTTTCATTTAGGTCCCTGATTTGGGGGCCACTTTTCAACTTTCATGGACCTACATAGATCTATCTGTGAGACCTGGGATTGGAAGATCTTAAAGAATGGGCTAGACTACAGTCTAATGCTTCAGACGATTTTACTTCAGTTTCTTTTTTCTTTTTTGGTTTTTCGAGACAGGGTTTTTCTGTGTCGCTTTGGTGCCTTTCCTGGATCTCACTCTGTAGCCCAGTCTGGCCTTGAACTCACAGATATCCACCTGCCTCCACCTCCTGAGTGCTGGGATTAAAGACGTGTGCCACCACTTCCCAGCTTTTACTTCAGTTTCAATGTACTGAATGCACTAATGCAACAAAGAAAGCAATGATTCAAGGAAGGCTGTTTGAGTTTACAAAAACATGATCAGAAAAACATGTAAATAAACTCCAATAAGCACATACTAAATATTAACAGAACAGCCCTTTCCTGGAACTTTCTCAGGACAGAACAATTTAAACACAATTACCTGGCATGTACTACAGATTATATCTGGGAAAGCATGAAAACAAGGCAGAGGGCCATATCCAGATCCAGGGTGCACTGACAAGATTGGATTCTATAGCTGTGTTCTGACATCTAACAAAAATAAAACATGTCTTATAAATTGAATGCAAATACTTGTCATAGGAGGCACGAAATCACATCTAAGAACAATCCAGGGAACAAAATGCACCTGAGGTAAAAGGCCTTTTGCCTATTTTTCCTGGAACCTCTCTCATAGTTTCCCAAGGCATTGTCTACCACACATTATTCTTTTGGCTGTGTTTTGATAGTACTTTACTAAAAGGTCACTTTAGAGTGGACGCTTACATGGCTATGTGCTTATAGAATAAGCGGACCATACTGTGAGAAGAAACAGAGAGAGAGAGAGAGAGAGAGAGAGAGAGAGAGAGAGAGAGAGAGAGAGAGAGAGAGAGAGAGAGAGAGAGAGAGAGAGAGAGAGAGAAGATTCTTGGCCTCCGGACAGGCCTGTATGTGCAACTTTGATACTTGGCATTCAGGACAGGCATGTATGTGCATCTTTGGTTCTGATTTTTCAGTTTAGGTTATGGATTTTCCTTTGTACTCTGGGTTTTCTTGTTGTATGAGTGTGTGATTTTTTTTCTCATTCTTTTGTAGTCTCCTCTTGGTTTTCTTGCTTGTGTGGCTTCTCTTTCATGAAACCAAATATTTTCTGGCCAGAAGAAAGCTTTCTTACCCACAGAGTCACCACCAAAGATTTTGAAATGGAGAGAAAACCACTAGGTGTTTCATAATTATGTCTTGATTAACATGTCTTCACTGAAAAGTTCTTATATTCTACACCATAGAAAATTCAGGCTAGGCTTGTAAATCATTGCTTATTTCTAAAAGTACCGTACTGGTTGTGATTAAAGTCCACAAAGCTACTGGGTTCTTGTTTCAATAAAAGTGACTCATATCAAAACTATATTTCATTCTCATTAAAACTTTCAGGGCCTGAGAAGATGTATCAGTGTGTCAAGTACTTATCCTACAAGTCTGAGGACTGGCACTAAGATACCCAGAACCTATGTAAAAGCCTGGTGGCCATGGTAACCCATTTGCAAGGTTTGGGAGGTGGAGATGAGGGATTCCCTGGTCAAGCTCTCTAGCAGACTAACTGAAATGGGGAGCTCAAGGTTCAGAGAGAGATGAGAGACTCTGTACTAAAGGTGGAGAGTGGTAGAGAAACATGCCCTATGTCAGCCTCAGGCCTCCACATGTACATGTATACAATGTGCATATGCATCCACATAAGTACACATGTCCTCACATTTGAACACAAATACATACATGCACAGCACACACACACACACACACACACACACACACAAAAAAAAAAAAAAAAAAAAAAAAAAAAAAAAAAAAAAAAAAAAAACTAAACTTTTTAAGTTGCAATTTTTGGTGCATACAACCCTAGTTTTTACTTTTAAATTGGAAAAACACCTTATAGTAGGTTTTAAAGGCATGTTGCATTTATTTTAGGGATTTCATCTAAGCATGCCTATGTAGTATGAAGAAACATGAAATTGTAGATAAAGCAGGTAACATCAGTCAAAAATAACAATTATTTCTGCTGCTTTTTATAGAGAATGTTAACAGAGATAGGTCACCCTAGTGTTTAACATGCATATTGACTACCTGACATAGCATTCCCTTCTAAATTTAACCTCTCATTTCATTTAAAAAACATGTTTCTGGCTCAGGCTTGTTAAGTGAGATGGTACCAAAGCCAACAATTTCATTACTACAGGGCTCCCTTTTATCATGTGAAGTCACAACTTTGCACATACAAAGATTCCACCATTGAAAAATGGGCAAAACAAAAATATGAAAACTTCCGTGTGTGTGTGTGTGTCACTGGTTAGAACATCATGCAATGCATTGCAAATCAGTCTCTACTTTCCAGAAAGAAAATATATATGCCAGAAATATGAAATGATACTCAGAATAATTTTTAAATGAACCTTGGAAGATAGCGAGCGGTAAACAATGCAAAGGTAGCAACTTGCGATCACGTCACCATGCAGCTGTCGCAGCCCTGTGTAGTTCTGGCCCCTGAAGTGGCTGTTGTATCTGATTGAAGGCTGAGGTTTGTAACTGTGTGTTTTCTTTATACAGGCTTGCTTCTCTGCTAGGCAGCTGGTGGAGATCTTTCTACAGAACCATAGTAGTCCTTCCATTTCTAAGGAGGACTTTAAGAAGCTAAGTCCAGGGATCATCCAGCAACTACTCAGCTGCTCTTGCCAAATGCCCAAGGACCAGCAAGCAAAGCTCCCACCCACCACTCTGGAGAGTAAGTCTGGGTCCCACAACCATGTGCACAATGCATGTAGTAATAGCAGGAAATGTAGAGTGCTCACTGTGTAGAAGGAGCAGTCCTGAGCACTGTACATTTACCAAATTATTTAGTCCTCCATATAGTGAGGAGGGACGATTGCTATCATTCTCATTTTACAGATAAAGAAACACAGACATGTATATGCTTAGTCACAGGTTAAAAATTATGGACTTGTTAACATGATGACATTGAAAGTCAAACCTGAGCAAGCCAGTCTTAGAGTTCTATTTCTGTTGGTTCTGATGCTTTTCAGTGAATTTTATGAGTATCCTAGGTGAGCCTCAGACTTACAATCCCCCTACTTTGTTCTCCCCAATGCTGGCTGGGATTATGGATGTGTGCCAACACATAAAATGATATTCAAAGCATATTTCATATTTTTTATATAATTCATTAAATCAATTCTGTCCTTCATATTTGACTAAATGGTAAAGCAACTTACAATTTTATGATTCTTAGGGGGTCTGAAGAAGGATGAATAAGTAAAGTGCTTATGAGGCAAGCATGGGGGACCTGAATTGGGTTTCTAGCACCCGAGCAACAAAACAAAACAAAACAAAAAAACTGAGTGTAGTGGTATGTGCCTGCAATCTGAATTCTAGGGAAGTAGAGACATGAGTATCCCAAGGCCTTGCAATCTAGGCAGATTGATGAGTTCTAGGTTTAGTGGGAGATCCTGTTAAAAAAAATACAAGCAATTGAGGAAGGTAATGTGTTGATTCCAGACTCCACATTCATGAATCTGTACACACACACACACACACACACACACACACACACACACACACATCTCTCCATAGTTTATACCCTTTAATAGTTGAGAAGTGACAGGGTAAAAGAGAAAACACACCAGGACTGGAATGGGAAATGTATACCTGAGACATATTCTTTAATCTCAGGAACTGTGTGATCTTAAGCAATTTCTAATTCCACTTCTTGGGACTGGCTCTTTTCAACTTAGTGGGAAGTAGATGATACCATAGAGTGCTTTAACAATCCCCACATCCTGGAACTTGTGAAACATGAGGGTGTATTGGGGTAAATGAAGGTACACAAGCTGGTCTGTGTTGGAGGTGCCAAAGCCAGGGAGATTACAGCCTCCCAGGAATGGCTGGTGGCTCTAGAAAGTGCAGGGACTTTACACTCTCCTGGATCCCACTGAGTCACCATAGCAGTAACTTGTAGTTGAAGTTTTCCTGTGTTCACCCAGCTCCTGCAGCCACTCAGACCCAAGTAAACACACAGAGACTTACATTACTTATAAACTGTATGGCCATGGCAAGCTTCTTGCTATCTAGTTCTTTTATCTTAAATTAACCCATTTCTGTTCATGTATAAGTTGCCACGTGGCTTGTGGCTTACCAATACTTTTACATCTTGCTTCCTCTGTGTCTGGCTGGTGACTCCTGACTCAGCCTTCCTGTTCCCAGAATTCTCCTCTCTGCTTATCCCACCTATACTATACTTCCTGCCTGGCTACTGGCCAATCAGTGTTTTATTTATCAACCAAATCAGAGCAACACATTCACAGCATATATAGCGATATCCACACAGCAGTAACTTATTGATTTTATAGGGAACCTACAAGGTGCAAATTGGATAAAGAGTTCAAAAATGTGTAGTACATTGAAGCTTTATGTAGTTATGACCTCCATCTCCCTAATATGGTAGCCAAGAATAGCCATGACACAGTGAAAATATAAAACTTCAAGCACTGACCATTAATGGACCATATATATGATATATATGAACAGATATGAATATACATATTTAGAGTTGTATACTTTGTGATAGACTGTAATGTCTACCATTTAAAAATTGAATTATCCAGCTACTTATCTCAAAGTTACAATGGATTCTTGAGTGGTAAGTAGCTCATTTGAAGGTTTACTGTGAGCAAAAGCATGTTATGTCTAAATACCTAAAATGTCCTAGCTGCTGGGAGAAAAGACATTTCACTAAAATGAGGAGCCTAGAAACTTAACACGTATGGTCAATGATGCTCACAAGTGATGGGACAGAAGTGCAGTACCTCTGAGCACGTGGCATGGCCATACTCCCACCACTGGGTACAGTGCCTGGGTGTGTACAAACCCCTTACAGAAAAGCTGTTTGAACATAAGATCTATGGGGGAAAAAGGTGAATGGTTTATCCTCTTTTTTACGAACATCTAGACTCTTCTAGAGAAATTTCTTTAGCAATATCCCATTAATAATATACAGCAAATAACCTCTCTTAATAGATGTCTCTGTTCGCAATTTAAAATGTGGCACTATGTAATTAACAGAGGCTTTGAAACTTAGAGCAATGGGAGATGTTGCATTAAAGTGGGATGAACACAGGGAGATGTTAATAAGGAAGCAGAGTTCTATGGGTTGTAACTCAAGCCTTACGTGCCACCTTCAACCTCATTTCTAGGAAGGAAACGTGACCATGTTCAGATCAAATTTCAGACCCGCTCTAAGTAGCTGCTCTGCAAAGGCTAAGAATTCAGTGTGTAGTTCCAGTTCTGTCATGATGGGAAATGTATATTGTTAAAATATCAGACACCAATCAAGGTACCATAATACTTGGCTTGGGGCTGAGGGCAAATCTGCAGTCCTTTTACATAACGTCATAGATTTTTATGATTTCCAGGCTATCCCACCCACAAGAAAGAAGGCAAAATCTAACATAAAAGAGAATTTAAAAGCTCCAAAGTTATGGAAACAACCATTTTCCCGCAGCATCACTTTGTTGCTGCCCACAGGACAAAGAGAACAGGGAGATAGGAAGTGAGACATGTCCAGACTCTAATGTGTCCTATGAGTTTTTAGCCTGTTATGGTCTCTTGTAGGCACTATTAAAAACCTTGAGTTGCCCATGTTGAAATCCTAATAACTTTATGTATTTAGGCGAGAATAGTGGCATTTGTGAATAAAGTCCAGCTGGGGATGGATGGATGGGCTATGAAAATCTTCAAAGATATTTTAATAACATGGGAGTCCTTGTGTTCTTAATAAACTAGGATGAAATAAAACAGCTGTGTAGGTGCATGACCATCCCAGCCATCCTTAAAGTTATTAAAATTAATTGTTGTAAAATATGCACATCATTAAATTTATCTCCACTCCTTTCTTTAGATACAAAGTGCCCTGTGAGTTCTAAGCACACGCTGTACCACTGGCCTGTGCTCCTGCTCCTTACTTACTTTGGTTTGTATAATTCAGCAGTGCTCAGTATATTCACGTAGCTATGAAACAGCTATGTTTTCATATTTGCAAACTGAGAAGACCAGCTCTTCATTGTCCCCTAGAGCACTATAGAGAGATGCCACAATGAAGAGGTGGCAGAGAAGGTGAAAGATAGAAGACTGTCAATTTCCTGCCTGTTCTTGTTATACTACCAACTCCATTTATCCCAGTAAAGTGGGAACTAAGACTCAACAAAGGTCCTCTTAAATCAAGCTTAGTGCTACATTAATATGCATCATTAATATGATCTGATGTGAAGGGTGAACCTTCTTGAAAACCTAAGTATGGTGGGAAAAGAATATTACTTTTTAAAAAATAATATTCACAATTTTTTCTTAGACAATTTCATACATATATAAAATATATCTTGATTATAGCTACCTCTAGTTCTCTTCTTCCACTACCCTGAGTCCCCTAACAAATCCCCCGACTTCCTGTTCTTTTCTTAAAATAAAACAAAAACAAAAAGACAAGCCAGGGGGTGCAATTAGTGTTGTCCACATGTTAGTGAGCCATCCAGTTGAGCTGGAGAAACCTACCAGCAGCCATACTCCTGAAAAAGCAATGACTACCCCCACACACCTCCTCAGCTAGGAGTGGGGCCTCATGATCCCCTCCCCCAACATTCTTCTATAATAATAAACTTTAAGAGAATATTTTCTTTGAGACTACAGTGGGGGGGCTACAGACAACTTGGCAGCAAAGAGGATATACAGCTCTTATGGAGAACCTGGATTTGGTGCCGTACACTCATGTCAAATGACTTAGGACTGCCTGCAACTCTAGCTCCAGAGAATCCAATGCCTTTGGCCTCTGTAGGCACCTACACATTGATGCATATAAACATCGACACTCATGAGTGTCGATGCCTATGTGCACACCTCCCTAAGGGATTGGGGGTTTGATAGATCCTCCCCTCAATGCAGGCAGTTTCATAGGTCAGCATGGGATGTGAGGAAGACAAGGTCTTTATAGCTCATTTCCAAATGGGGGATTTGGTGGGCAAACTAGGCAGAGTTACAGGAGCACAACATAAGTATAACAAGTTAGTCACAGTGGCCTCCTGAAACAAAGACATGATTTGCAAGGTGGTCAAAACAACATGTAGTTGAAACAAAGGTAGAGTGGCAGGATGGTTATTAACCTTTTTAAACAAAGACATGATTGTCATCCCTGGATAAGGAAGTATATTTGTAGTTAAGGTTGCAGGAGGGGCATAACCCAATCCTTGAGAAACAAAGATTTAATCAGAAACTGGAGCGAACCTAATTTGTTTTTAACTATGAGATAGTTTTTAAGCCTAAGATGGAGGCAGGCTGGTTCTTCAACAACCCCCCTCTCCCACCCTGGCCAAGTGGGACAATTCACACAAGGTGGAGACTAAAACTCAGGACAATGAAACTTGGGGCATTATTATCTTTGTGGGCACTGGGACTGTGACCCAGGGACTGACCTCTTGATTTATTTTTCTTACACATTTAAACATAATAGAACTTGTGACCTTTATGATAAGAATGAACTCTATTGACTGATAAACAGAGCTTAGGGCTAGAGCCTAGAGGAAGGATCTGTGATAAGCATAAGGTGGAGGATGCAAAGTCCATGGGGATTCTCTCATGGGGATGTGCTCTATTCACTGCAGGGTTAAGACCTAAACAATGCTCAGGATATTGGGGGGATTCAGGTGGGAGCTGGCTCCTAATAGAATAGCAGAGAATCACCAAGTTGATTGACCACTTTTCACTCTGGCATTCCAGGTGACTAGGAGTCATTCACTTGTTGAAGAAAACAGGCCTATGTGATTGACAATCCTGGTTCTTTCAATGCTTATTCTAAGCTATACTTCCTACACATATGTGCACAATTAAAAACAATAAAAATAAAATCTTTAAAACTACAATTAGATTTAAGTATTATGATAGCTGAAGTATTCCGTTTCCTCCTCAATTTTTCCTTACACATACATTAATTTTTAAAAATAATCTTAACATCTTACTGTATTGGCTACTTTTATAGTTGCTGTGAGAAAATTCCCAAGGGAAGCAACTTAAAGAAGGAAGGCCATGCTTTGATCCACAGTTCCAGGGAATAGTCCATCCTGGAGGTGCTTGAGGCATCTGATCACATTACATACAAAGTCAGAAAGGAGCTCAGCTCACTTTCTACTTTCTATTCAGTCCATAGGATGCTGCTGTCTACACTTAAGGATGGATCTTGCCACCATGATTCACTTAAGCTAGAAAACCACCCAGAGATCTGTCTTCTAGATGATTCAAGGTTCTGCAGGTTGATAATCAAGTCAAACCATCACATTTACTTTGCTGATTATTAAAACACTATTTGGAGGCCTAGATACATGGAATAAATTTTAGGGGTTATAAGAATTCTTGCCGGGCGGTGGTGGCGCACGCCTTTAATCCCAGCACTCGGGAGGCAGAGCCAGGCGGATCTTTGTGAGTTCGAGGCCAGCCTGGGCTACCAAGTGAGTTCCAGGAAAGGCGCAAAGCTACACAGAGAAACCCTGTCTCGAAAAATCCAAAAAAAAAAAAAAAAAAAAAAAAGAATTCTTGATAGAATCTAAAATGTAGACTGTTAGAATTTATATTTCCAATCGTTCATATTGATGGATCAATTTTCACCTATAAAGCCACTCATTTTAGTTATTGGGAATAGCATCAATTTTTACATATCCAATCGTTTTGGACGATTTTAGAAAGAAGTTCTCCTGAAGTCTGTGCTCAGTTTGTTCATAAGCACTGGTCTGCAGTGGAGCCCCACTCCATGCTTCCCCAAAGTATCTCCCTTGCCTTTGAAGTGTTTAAAGTGATTAGATGGGAATCAGTACTTGGGTCTCCCTACGGGAGTTTATGGGAGTGTTGCATTTACGAGTAGGAAAAATGCCTTTCTCTGTGGGTGGTAGGTGTCTGGGCATTTGCTTGCTTAGGTGATTTTACATAAAACATGGGGTAGCTCTGCATGTACACCTGCATATGGAAGAGGGAATCAGATCTTATTACAGATGGTTGTGAGCCGGCATGTGGTTGTTGGGAACTGAACTCAGGACCTCTGGAAATGCAGCCAGTGCTCTTAACTGCTGAGCCATCCACAGGATGCCCATGGCTTGAGGCAACTTCAGGATATCTGAAAGGAGTTACGATGAGGGTCCCGTGATGATGGTGTGCCAGAGGCCAGAGGCCTTGAAATAGACCAATGACTCATTGCAATGAACATTTTGTGGGTTGGGCTGAGTGGACAAAAGGGTACACCACGTGACACAATGCAGCTCCCAGTGCCACTGGGATGAGTGAAGAAGTGTTGGAAAGACGGGGAGCAAGGTGGGTTTTTTTCGTTTTCTTTTGTTTTAATTAATTTGGGGGGGCATGCTGCAGGGGTGAGGGGCAGATTGGAGGGACTGGAGGAGAGTGGGATTGGGGTACACGACGTGAAATTCCCCAAGAATCAATAAAAAATTAAGTTAAAACAAACTAAAACAAAGAAACATGGGGTAGCTTCAAAGCCACGGTCAGGTGAAAACTTAAGTCTTTGCTGTAACAAAATCATCTGGGTGGCTTATGAACAACAGAAATGTGTCCCTCCCAGTTCTGGAGGTTGAGAGGCTCAAGATCAATGTGTTGGTAGACTCTGATTAGAATTGATGGTGGTGGCACGGTCTGCTTTATGGTTCATATCATGGGACCAGCTCACTATCTCCCCCTGCTGGGAGTTCCTTATAAGGCACTTACCTCATGCTCTTGGACAGAGCCCTCCTGACCGACCTCTGACCTCCCAAAGGCCTCACTTTCTTTGTACTGTCACCTTGGGGGCTGGGTTCTAGGGGGTGGGTGAGAGTGGTAATAAACATTTAGACCACAACAACTCCTAGATGATCATTGACGTTCACTCTTCGCCTTCAAACTGAAAGTAATCTTTTGCCCCATACAAAACGTACAAAGCCATTGCATGTCCCAGCAAACTGTTATCGTAGAAGAGCAGATCTGGAATTTCTGCCAGCTGAGGCATGAGTGGACAGCAGTGTGCACTGACAGCCTTTGTCGCCTCCTTTGACTAGAGTACGGCTACAGCACGGTGGCTGTGACATTCCTGACGTTGGGGTCTATGCTTGGGACGGCACTGGTCCTTTTCCACAGCTGTGAGGAGAACTACAGTCTTATTTTACAGCTCTTCGTGGGCTTGGCTGTGGGAACTCTCTCTGGGGATGCCCTGCTCCACCTCATCCCTCAGGTAACCTTGTTCTTCTGTGGGAATCTGTTGGAGTCCAGCTCCGACCTGTTGAAGGGTTCTTGTGGGGGAGGAGAGAGGAATGAGAAAGTGTTAGATAGAAATATAGGTGGAAATGGAGAAAAGAGAACAGAGACACAGGATAGCTCCGGGAGGGCCCTGGGTCAATACACAGCCATCTCGAGGTTTATTCTAATGGGCTTTTTATACAATGCCAAGGGGTGAGGCAAAAGACCTCCCCCTTTCAAGATCAAAGCACAACGTATAGCCAAGTGTAGACCCTTTAAACACCTGGTAACCATGTCCATGGTCAAATCATTCTATTATGCAGTCCTGCTGGGTAAAGCAAGATTCTCTGACCTTGAGTAAGGTCATTTAGGGAGCCTCTGTGGGCACCCACATTCTTCCATTGCAGATGGGTGGCATCTGGTTCTTCTTTCCATTCAATAACTTGAGATATTTATGCAAAATTTTTGGTGTGAACCTCAGTGAAAAAATACCAAGGCTGGGGTTTTCCTTGGAAAGAACACCTCTTGTCCTGAGCATCTTTGCACCCATGGAAGAGAAGAAAGAGATAAGCAGACATTGAGTCCATCTCCAATTATCTTTGTTTTTGAAATAAAGGTAGTCAGTGTAGATGCATTTCTAAACAGTCTTATTAAATAAAAAACATGGAGCCAGATATATGTATGGGTGAAAGTCTGGGAGAGATCAGGGAAACAGAGAAAGCCACAGCTAACCTTACCTCACAACTGGACAGCTTCCAAATGCGAGTTACTTCCTGTCTACCCATGCCTATGTGCCTTGCTGTTTTGCCATCTGGTTCTCTGTTCAGCTACATCACTTCTTCTTCCTGCCCAGCTCTGTCACTTCCTATCTGTCTGTACAGACCTCCATACCTCCATGGTTAACTAGGGTTGGAATTCAAAGCATGTATCACCACACCTCGCTCTGTTTCCAGTGTGGCCTTGAACACACAGAGATCCAGACAGATTCCTGCCTGCCAAGTGGTAGGATTAAAGGCATGTGCTAACATTGCATGACTTCTGTGTTATGGCCGGCTTTTGCCTCTGATCTCCAGGAAAGCTTTACTTATTAAAGCACAAATAAAATATTACCACATTTCAGCACAAATAAAATATCACCACAGGTCAGGTTATTAGATTGGATTAAGAAAGGTTCAGGAGGCAAATGTCACAGAACACACACACACACACACACACACACACACACACACACACACACACACAGTCTTTGAGTGTGATGCTGGCCTTTCTCAACTGCTTCCCTTTACCCTAATGCATCAGATCTGTTTCCCTCTGTTCTTGTGTTTTGCCTCAAAGTTTGATTTCTTGCCAATTGGATTTTTGCCTGGTTTCTGCCAGTATCACAGGAAATTCGGGGCTAAAGGAAGAGGGGCAGTAGCATTTCTTCTAGCTTACTCCTGACTCTGGCTCTCACACCTGATCCAAAAGTAGCCATAGACTGTCAGGTTGTATCTGGAGGCTCCCTCCATAGCATCCCCTCTCTCAAAGTTTCAACAATGTCATTTTTTACTGTTGTCCCTTTAGAGCTACAGTGGAAACGGGTTCTTGGACGACTGTTCTCTGGGTCCCTTGTTCCTTAGCCCTGCCTGAGTCTGCCTTGGTGTCATCATTAGCATCATTGTCTCTGTGTTTGAACCCTCAGAGTAGACTTCTCTTCCTCACAATAATAACGGTTTTTGGATTTCTTTTCTTTTTGTACTGTGTGTGTGTGTGTGTGTGTGTGTGTGTGTGTGTGTGTGTGTGTGCTCACATGTGTGTGCACCTACATGTATGAGTATGTATGTATGTATGTATGTATGTATGTATGTATGTATGTATGTATGTATGTATTTGGACATGAGTGTGGTTGCTAGATATCAATAACAGTGTTTTCCTCAGTCATTCCTCACCTCACTGTTTGAGGCAGGGTCTCTCACAGAACCTGGAGCTCACCAGTTTGGTTACACTGGCTGGCTGCTGAGTTCCAGAGATCCACCTGTCTTAGCTGCCTCAGTCCTGGGCTTATGGATACGTGCTGTGACACTCAGCTTTTCATGTGAGTGCTAGAGATCTGAAGTCAGGGTCTTGTTTTTGTGAGACGAGTCCTTGACAGCCCCTGGATTTCTTTCCTCAGAAGAGCCAAAAGCACCAGAAAAGTGGCTGTCTGTTGAAGTCCTCGGAGGCTTTTTTATTTATCAGAAATGAAAGGACTAGACTTGAGATGTGCGCGAGGTGAGGTGGGGGCATTGCCGAGGAGGTTGTCTGTCTGTTCTTGATAGGGATGGTGACAGCACACTAAAGATCATGCCTCTTGTGAAGTAGGAAATGGTCAACATTTCCACAAGCTGCTGGCAATTTCCTTGGGATCACTGTTGTTGCTTAGAGGCTCAATAATTATTTGATATTCAAAAAATGGCAAAATGAGCATTGGAGAAATTAAACAAGCCACTATTGGTTTTAATTTCCCTCATAATCTAATTTTCTGGAACTATTTCAAGACTCATGTATTGGCTCGAGGCAATGGCCACAGCCGCTTTCTAGGTCACTGCAGCAGATACAGAGATGTTTGTTGCCTGGGAGCCTGGGAAACGGCAGGAGGTTTCCTCTGAGGAGCAGTGCACAGCTGGGGAGCAAACCTGGACTTGGGGTGCATAGGAAATGCTGCAGATCTGCGCAAAAAGGTTAGCTTGTATCTATGACATCTGAAGGCAAAGTTTTTTCTTGAGAAAAGAGATGAGGACAAGCATTATTAGAAAGATGAAGAAGGATCTCCTGTAAAGTGTGTTGGAGAACTAGAGAAATCAGTGGTTCCTAAATGCGATCTGCATTTTCAAAGATCTTTACAGAAGCAAGAAAATACCACTGCTTGATGGATTTTTATCATTGCTAAATTTGTTCAACCTAAAGATCTATGTCTTAACCCGAGGTTGTGATCTGTTCATTTATTTAATTGTATGATATTATAATGCTCCTAACTTTACGAAATGTTGGTTGCATGAGTATGAAGTGAGTGTACATTAGTGTTATTACCAAACAAGTTAGTACAAGGGGACTACCATATTCTGGTTTTTAGTTGTAACTGCATGTATGTACTTACCCATATATACAAGGTATCCATTGTGGGTTGCTTCTAAGACTCCTGAGGACATGAAAGCCCACACATGCTCAAGTCTCTTTGTGAAAAAACTGTATTGAACTTGCATATATCCTACATATAGCTTGTTACTTTAAATAATTTAGATCACTTACAATATGTAATGCAATGTAAAATGTCTGCAATACTCTACTATTCAGAGAATAATATAGTGAGAAGAAATTCAGTTATTTTCTTCTGAGTGTTTTCATTCTATATTTGGTGGATATATATACCCCAAGACTATATTACATAAACATAAATGATATATATGCATTTATAATTTCTATTTTCTTTATTTGAAACTCAGAAACAACCTACTCTACAAACCCCTGAGCTATTTCACAAATTGCTATTTTTTGGGAAAGGAATATACTAGATGATAATTACTTACAAGTAGTCATAAAGTCAATGAGGGACTGAGTGAATGGAATGAGTAAGTTAATTAGAGGGAATCTCACAATGCCCTTCAGACCACTGATAACACTCCTGGTCACACTGTAGGTGGAGTTTTTCTGTGTCCCAGCAGTCAGCTCTGTCCCACCAATTGGCTTCCAAACAACCACACTGAGACTTATTATTAATTATAAATGCTCAGCCGATAGCTTAGGCTTATTTTTAGCTAGCTCTTATAACTTAAATTAACCCATTTCTATTAATCTATGTCATGCCCCAAGGCTTGTTTACCTCATCTACATACTGTTCATCCTGTATGCTCTGCTTCTCATGCTGTCTCCCTCACATCTCCCCAGCCTTCTCCTAAGCATTCTCTCTGCCTAGCTACTGGCCAGTTAGCTTTTTTATTAAACCAATGGCGGTAACATATATTCACACAATGTAAAGGAATATTCCACACATAGAGCATACACTCTGTGATGTGCTAACTTTCAGGTAGATTTCTCTATTCAGATAGAACAGAGTTAAAAGTTTAATTGCAGTAGTGCATGGGACACATTGACATGGGGACACACTTTGTGTGTGTCCCATGCAGAAAGCATATTGATATCTTATGAAGCATTACTATACACACAGAACTCTTGAAAAGAAACCAGCTAAAGATAAAATGTGTGAAAATGAGGCCAGGTGCTAACATAGAGCATTGGCATCTATTTATTCATTAGCAGAAGCTATTCAAAATTTGCCTTTGTTTTCTGCTGTTCACGTTTTCTTTGATACTGATTACACTATGTAATGGAGGTATTTACATACCCTACAGTACACTAAAATTTGAATGATTTCAGTTGCTATGGCATTCCCACAGACTAAGAGTTGAACTCATTCAACTTCTACGTTTACTCTTTGGTATTTAAGTCATTGAAAGTTATTTCCTTCTTTCATTGTTTTATTTTTCCCTTTATTGAAAATTGATTTTTTCTTTCATAGTACATCTTGATTGTGGTTTCCTTCTAGTCTTCCCAGATCCTCCCCATATCCCCTCCCATCCATATCCACCCCCCTGCTTCTGTCTCTCATTAGAAAACAAACAGGCTCCTATGGGATACTAATAAAATATAATAAGATACAACAAAAATCAACACATTAGAATTGAACAAAATCAACAGAAGGAAAAGCACCTAAGGGAAAGCACAGGAAACAGACTTATTCACTTGTACTTTCAGGAATCCCATAAAAACACTAAACCAGAAGCCATAATATATATGCAAAATACTGTAGGATAAAAAGAGAGAAGAAAATAAATAAAAACAGTGAGATAAAATTATATAAGATATGACATTATAAGACAAGGAACTTCGAAAATGCCATTGAGTTCATTTTAAGTTGGCCATCTATTGCTGGGCATGCAGCCTTCCCTTAAGAGTAGTTTGTTTTCTCTAGTGAGACAT